TTCTCTTTGCAAACCCATGGACTTCTCCAGGGTATTCCCTTCTCCAGGAGATCGTTCCAAACCAGGGATCAAACCCAGGTCTGCCACATTGCAGGGAGATTCTTTACCATCTGAGCCACCAGGAAAGCATGGAAACATACAGCACCATATATAAAATAAATAGCCAGTGGGAGTTTGCTGGATGAAGCAGGGAAGCCAAAGCTAGTGCTCTGTGGGTGCCTAGAGGGGTGGGATGGGGAGGGAGGTGGGAAGAAGGTTCAAGAGGGAGACGACATCTTTATGTCTCTGGCTGATTCATGTTTGTGATGGAAACCATCACACTATTGTAAAGTAATTATCCTTCAATTAAAAATAAAATAAATGCTTAGTCGTTACTTGTGGCTGGTTGCTACCATATTGGACTACGTAGCTCTACGGTGACCTGCTTGGACTATGTCAGTAGTATAAAGTTGTTTTTCAGTTCCCCAGAGAAGGCTCTTCCAACCTTCTGCCCCAAGGGTAAGGATTTTGGGGTGCTGGAGTCCTGAGAAACTAGAAAGGGGAAGGTGCTGGGTGTCTCAGTATATAGAGTACGCATAGATTAATTTACTTGTCTTTTTGGTATAGGATTTCTGCCCGCAACTGTGCGTGGCATCCCCCACGCCAGAGATCTGTGTTTTATCCTCTTCTAAGAATAAATTTACAGATTTATGCTGGAGTAAGGGAGGGTGGTCTCCTGATGGCATGAGGGGAGGGGCTTTGGGGATAACAGGAGGATCTACAGGTCCAACTGCTTCTTTACGTGAAAAGTGAAAGTCGCTCAGTTGTGTCTGACTCTTTGCGATCCCATGGGCTATACAGTCCATGGAATTCTCCAGGCCAGAATACTGGAGTGGGTAGCCTTTCCCTTCTCCAGGAGATCTTCCCAACCCAGGGATTAAACCCAGGTCTCACGCATTTCAGGCGGATTCTTTACCAGTTGAGCCACAAGGGAAGCCCAAGAATGCTGGAATGGGTAGCCTGTCCCTTCTCCAGCGGATCTTCCTGACCCAGGAATCGAACTGGGTTCTGCATTGCAGGCAGATTCTTTACCAACTGAGCTATGTAACTGCTTTTTAAACAGCCTTTAAACCAATCTTATTTTTGGCCTTCCTCTTCTCCAGCTGCTCATTTCTGTAGGTATTCCACCTGGTGCTGCTAATTCCTGAGCCTGTTGAGGATTCTTAAGTACAGTCTAGATAGTTACTAGCTTTTCCTTCGTCAGGTTTAGGGCTCATTTTTCTTAGATCTGTTGAGTCTTAGTCCCAGCTTCAAAAGTTGATTATAATTACGCTTCTCTTGTTTTTCCCAACCTTGTAGGCTCCTTCCTTTTTTTTTTTTTTTTTCTAAAAATTCCTTTTCTGTACATGTAGAAATATTTCAAAAAGGGGGGGAATTTAATTCAGTTTACTGTCTTTTACCTGGATGTCCCTATTAATTTGTATTCATGAGCAGATTTTGATATGTTAAAATTTTTTCATTCTGTATTTATGCTTCCTTCAGTATCTGTTTGTAGTTAAAGGTTTTAGTATATATCTTCAGTAGAAGACTCGGTAAGAGGGACAGGAAGATGAAGTATTTAGTGCAGTTAGGGTTCGTAGTTTGATGGCAGAAAATAATTGATAGCAAACAAGGGAAAAGATGAGCATAGAGGCATATAGAAATAGGTGGGATCATTAGAGATCATCAAAAAGCTTGAACTTCTGGGGCATAATGCATAAGTACAGGTCCAGTAGCATTTATCTTCTAGGACTCCACTATTTTTAGTCGTTCTTACTTTTCATGAACTAGGAATCTCTTGTTACCTACCTCAGAGAATCCACAAAGCATGTTATGTATCTTGGGAAATTCACAGAACAGTTAATGATACAATTAGGAAAAAAGCCTCAGAAAACTTACCATTTGTAAACTGTAAGATCCTTAAGGAAAACACATGTAGCATTAAATAAGTAAATTAATACACCCTCAATATACTGTAGCAGCAGGTTCTATTTCAGTAATAGAGCTTTGGGTGTTCTGTTGGGTTCTGAAGCAGAATTTTGCCTGTACTGTGATTCACTTTGCTGGTAGATGCTGCCCTCTGTTGGGAGTAGTTGAGAAATACATGCATCAGTTTTGCTGTCCTTACTCAAATCGAGCACTAAAACATGGATACTTTTTTTTAAAGGAATTAATTTGTTTCTAATGATGCACCAAGGAAACCTAAGGAGACTGGTTTTTTCCCTTTTAAGAAAACAGATTTTTTGTGTGTGTGTCTAAAAGCAACAGTGGGCATTAAATGGGAACAAGACAAAAATTTGGGGAATGCAAAGGTTTAGGGCTATCTGGAGACCAGAGTTCCATACCCAGCTTGCCCTTATATGACCTCAGTGATTTACTCCATCTGTGTGGGCTTCAGTTTCTTCACCGATGAAATGAAAATGTGGAACAGATCTCCAGGGATTGGTATTTTAGGAGAGCAGCCCCAAATTATGCTATTTGTTCATAGGCAATACAATGACTGAGTCTTAGGCTCTGCTCTGAAGGAACTTAGTCTGGAAATAGCTAGAGGAGACAGACAATCAAAATACAGTTGTAATCCACTTGTAGTGCTGTGAGGCGGGCAAGTACCTATTTCTGCAGAAACATAAGGAGAGGTACCTTTCCAATTAGAGGAGGTGTCATCCTGTAGGGCCTGTTGGAGTTAGCCTTGAAAGCAGTCTCCACGGAGGGAAGCAGCAGCCTAGGGAAGGTTTTTGGTGGTGAGACAGTGTGATCTGTCTGTGGACTTGCAATGAATTCAGGATGCCCAGAAGATAGGGTTTGAGGTAGAGGGCTTGTTGAGAGATGAGTCAAAACAAAGAAGTCAGAAGTGTCCTATGCAATGCTAAGGAATTCGGATCTTAACCCAAGGGCAGTAGGGAACTATTACAAGGTTTTAAATGAGAAATAACCCAGACAGCTCGACATTTTACAACAATTACTCTTGGATTTAGTATAGAGCATAGATTTTGTGTTGGGCAGATGGGAGTGAAGGAAGGGACATGAGTTAGGAGGCTACTACAGTAAATCAAACGACAGCTCATACCACTAGGATGGAGGGAAGAGAAATGAGTCTGCCGGCAGAAAAAATAGGTTGCTGGTTTCCTGTTCTTTAACTTAACCTGCAGCTACGAAGAGTCCAGCTGGCACTGATTCATTAGACCCAGGTTCTGTTATCTATGTTATATCCATCCCAGAATTGTTTGGGTGGTTGTTTGGTTCTGACGGAACATTTTGAGTTTGGAGGGCAAGGTTCTGGACTGGAAGCACTTGCTCTAGGAGCAAGTAAGTGTAACCTTGGTAGTGGCAACCTGACTATAAACACTCACCCTTTGTGTGGCTTGTTTCACCTCTGTGTCAGGTGACCCAGAGTGATGACAAAAGGAACTGTGAGTCTGCCTGGTGTTTCGGTCTCTGTCTCGTGACCCTTCTGCCGTGGCTGCCCAGTGAGCAGCGCACACACAGGGTAGCTTCGGATTCCATGGACACTGAGCAAAGTTCTTAGGGTTTTGGGTGAGTGATTAGCATTCCATCAGCAGGAGGTTGACCTCCTCTGGACTGTGGAGGGCAAAGTTAAAAATCACAGTTTACATGGGATTTAACAAACTCTTGACATTGGGCACATGAGCATAATGACATAGATTTTTCTTGTCTGTAAAAAGGTTAGTAGAATAATTTTGTGGCAGTGTCAAATAGTTTTTTGTTGAAGAATGTTAGTCAAGAGGCATTTACTGTACTCTTGTAAGAACAACAGCAAAAATAAGATTAAAAAAATGTTTTTGGCAGCACTCAATGGCATGCAGCATCTTAGTCCCCAACCAGGGATTGAACCCATGTCCCCTGCATTGGAACGCAGAGTCTTGACCACTGGACCTCCAGGGAAATCCCTGGTTTAAAACTAAGTATTGGAATGAAGAATTCCTGCTTTCCTGTACCTGCTTGAACCAGACTTTTTCTGGTAAAGTACAGCACACATACAGAAGAGAAGAGAATATAAAACATACAGAAAAGTTATAAATAGAACATCCATGTATCCATCATCTATCTCAAGAAATAGAATTTTATTGTAAGCACCCCTGAAGCCTCCATCCCTTTCTACAATCATTATTCTTCCACCCACCCCAGGTAACCACTGTTTTGCCATTTGTGGTAATCATTCTCTTTATGATTATACATCCTAGATAATGTAATTTAATTTTGCATGTTTTTAATCTCAATGTAAAAGAAATAATACATTCACTTTTATATTTGTGAGTAGCTACATGTTCATTCACTTTCTGCACATAATTATTTTCCACTGTACCATTACACCAGTTTACCCATTCTACTCCAGATGGCTGTTTGGATTGTTCTCTGTTTTAGATATTACAGTGTTACTGTGAACATTCTTGTTATACTCAGCCTGCTATGTAAGTGCAACTTTCTGAAGGAAAGGTAGATTTATAGAACTTGTTGTGTTGAGTTGTAATATATTTGCATATTTTCACTTTACTAGATTCTGTTTTCCATTGTGTTTTCCAAAGTGGCCATAACAATTTACATAACACCAACAGTGTGTGAGAGCGCCTGCTGCTCTGTGACTAGACACATGACAATTTTTTTGCCAGTCTTGAGAGTAAAATGATAATCTTGTTGTGGTTTTGGTCTGCATTTCCTTGTTTATTAATGAAGTTGAACACATTTCATAGGTTTATCGGTCATCTGATTTAGAGTTTTTTAGTTCTCCACCTCTTTTCCCCCAAAGGGTTATTATATGTTAGTGACCTTAAAACTCCTCCTGCCCCTTACTTAAGGGAATGTGCTAAGGAGTATGGCAGAAATCTAGCTTGTAGGAAGGAGCCTAGATCCTTTCAACTTGTTTTCTCCTCTTTTTTTCCCCAATCCATCTGGTATTTAGGAAATTTCCTGGCATTTCACTCATCTCTCTTCCCTCTCTTCTCCTTTCTTTTTCCTGTTCCTAGACTCTGAAGAGACTCATGGCAGATGAGGTAAGGAAATTTTGTTCAGCATGTGCATGGCTCATTTCCTACACTTATGGTATTTGCCAGTTGCAATAACTTTGACTTTCTATAACTTATAACTGTGATATGGGTTCTACTCTAAGGTCCTCCCACAGCTTTTTCTAACTCTTTGCTCTATTTGATTTATTGCATGCATTTCCCTGGCATGTTCACTGACTTCCAAGGTTGAGCATGTTCTTTAAACTCTGAGCTGACTTGCTGTCTGGATGCCATTCATATCATTGGAAGCCCCAGAATGCTTGCAGATGCTAACTCTTATTTTCAAACAGGTAGTGCCGATAAGCTACAGTTTATTGGTAGCTCTTTCTGAATTGAATACCTGTCCTTGTGGTTTGAGGAATGGTTGAGGTTGGTTGACAGAGAGATGGTGTATATAGCCCTGAAGCCTGAAGTACAATAGATTATATTCTTTGCAAAGACGATTTTGGAGAATATATTTTGAACTTTTGCTGTTTGCATAACACAAGTGCTATGGAGTGTACAGAAGAAAGAAATAACAATGGTTCCTGGTTTTAAGGCATTTCCTTGTTCCTTGTATATAACTTATATTAAAATCATGATCAGACTAAGCTCTCAAAGGGAGAGGTCCTCTGAGGATCTGGCCACAGTTATTATTGGGTAACTAGAGGGAAACAGGGCATTTTCCTGAGCACTCCGCATGTGAGGTGCTTTCAGTCCTAGGTTGCTCGAAGGCTTAGAAATGGCAGAGGAGCTAAAGAGCAAAGTTCTCTTTTTTAGACAGGTTCCAAATTTTAGTATTTCATTCTCCTTATCTTTGGATGAAGGTGAGAGTACAGAGTCAGTGTAGTAAATTAGATACAGGAAAGACTGGTTTCTCTTTTTCATGTCAGAAGAGCCTTGGAATTGCCCACAAACCAAAGGAACCATGGGCATATAAGAGGCCAGAGGCTATTTGAGGTATGGTTTGTTGTGTAAATAAAAATGGGTCACTGCTAATTCTTTTTTCTCTTTCTCAGCTGGAGAGATTTACCAGCATGAGAAGTAAGAAGGAGAAAGAAAAGCCCAATTCTGCTCATAGAAATTCTTCTGCATTTTATGGGGATGATCCCACAGCACAGTCATTGCAAGATGTTTCAGATGAGCAAGTTCTAGTACTCTTTGAACAGATGCTGGTAAGTTCCCCACCTCAAAACATTGCTTCTTCTTGAAAATGCTTTTATGGGCATGTTTGTTGTTTAGTCACTAAGTCGTGTCCAACTCTTTGAGACTTCCTGAACTGTACCTGCCAGACTTCTCTGTCTATGGGATTTCCCAGGCAAGAATACTGGAGTGGGTTGCCATTTCCTTCTCCACTTATAGGCATGATGGGTCCTTTTTCATGCACAGCCCTCCTTAACTAGCCCTTAATTACCAAAAAAACGCTCTAGGTTTAATAGAGAACTTAATAGGAGCTCCACTAATGAAGGGACTAAATATACAGGCACCAGTCTGTAGATTGGAATCTGTGAGTTAGGCTTAGAAATATCTGATCACTGACCACCTTGTTAGTCTCTTTTAGCCCAGCAGCACTTAAGCCACAAAGATACAGAATAAGTGGGCCAACTAATGTGGTAGTGTGATGACAGCCAGAGTAGATAAAGATTTAAAACATTCACAACAAAATCTCTACAAAGAAGAAACTTTGGAGAGGTGGAAATTTGGAAAGGTGTCATTTGCCCAAGGTCTTCTGTTCAGTGGTAAATCTGGAAAGAGAATTCTGATGTTATAATCACTAGAAGACCTTTGAAGTTTGGGGCTGAGGTCAGTTCAGTAATAACCTATGCATGGGTGACACTGACTTTGCTGCCCTCAGTGAGGACCGCTGAGTAAGGACACTCAGAATGTCCATCAGTGCTGAGGGTTGCAGAGTTTTGAGTACATGTTTATACGGTTTCATGAGACCTATGGATTAACTTGGATTTACCATCTCAGCTTCAATTAGAGACTAGTGGCGAGTCTTAAGTTAAAAGCATGGGATTAAAACCCTTAATACAGGGCCTGGTACCTGTGGTAGTAAACCCTCAACCAGTACTACTACTATTACTTTTCACTGAAGCTTTCAGTTTGCCTCATAATGATCCAAGTGTGTTAAGAGTCTAAGAGTATCATCTTTCAAGACAATCTCTTAGGTGCTTTGGATTGCAAATTGAGATGTCTTCAGGGCAAGGGGAGGTAGCATTAATAAGTTAAGGGCTACATAAATGATGATAAAAAGAAAAAGAGACTGCAGTAAAATGAAGAACATTTGGCATTTTTGTTAAAAGCCAGCCACAATTCACTTCCAGGTTTCGTAGCATTCTGGTTGGGAATGCTAGCCCAGTAATCCCAGATGTTTCTATTTTTCAAGAAGCCAGAAATCTGTACGTTTTTAAAAAAGCAACAAAAATTGATTTAAAAAAAAAAGAAAAAACAAATAGCCAGCATTCAGATTTCCCTAATAAGGTCATTAAAAAATTTTTTGTTTATTCAAGTCGTGATTCCAGATAGGGTCCATTGTAATATTCTCTGAAGTTTCATTTGAACTATAGATTTTCCTTTCCTTCCTATTGCTATAAAAAGTTTCTTGAAGAAGCTGTTTGACTTTTACAGTTTTCTGTAATCTTAAAATTGCTGATTGTATCCCTTGGTGCTAGAAATTCATATTTTTTTATGAAGTCTCTCAAATTTAAAATGTTGAAATTTTTAGAAGACAAAGCATATTTAGAAATTTTAGAAGACAAAGTATACTTCATCTTTTGTCTGATTCAGCCTCAGGGCCACTATTTTGCAACTTTTCTCTTCAGTTTATCTGTAAAAGGAGGAAGAAAGCACCAGAAATGGAGTCAGAAAAAAGTCAGATTACTATTATGGTTTGGTGGTGGTGATTCCTTTACACATCACACACACACACACACAGAGAAGAAATTGAATATTTCCACTTTTTCCTCCTATACGTTCCCATCTTAAATAATATTCTGGACTTGTTAGGGTTGAACTTCTGCTCACAGAGATGGGAGGCTCAGGCAGATGGTTTCATATGTAACATGCTCAAGCAGGGCCTTTCTCCTGATAACACACTCCAGATTATGTCTGTTGAGGGAATTTGTCAGTTTCCAGTTTGTTCTTCATGGAGGAGTTTGTCTAGGGACTTAGTTAACCAGGAGTAACGGGTGTTTAGGCCTAGAGTGGCACAGATTTTGCTGGTGTTTGAATGGTGCCAGTGGTTCAGTGCTTCAGCCTGAAGAAATTACTAAAGTCCATCCCAAGTGCAGAAAATATTAATGCTATGTTTGCTTTTCTTTCAATAATACAAAGTAAGTTTTCCCTCTGTATTGAGAGTCCGTTCTTGTTAGGAGTAAATTTAAGTGTATGTATATAAAAATGTCTGTTGGGATTTATGCTAAAATGTTAACCATATTTATTCCTGAGGAATTCCCATCATCTCTAACAGCTTAAGTCTCTAGGGGTCAGGAAAATTTCTTTATTCAGTAAGCATTTAGTGTGTTCGTCTCTTCACTAGCTGTACTAAATATTAAATACTCAAACTTGTAAGGAATTCAAAGCAATTTTCCCCCTTTTTTCCTCCTGCTACTAGCTGGATATGAACCTGAATGAGGAGAAACAGCAACCTTTGAGAGAGAAGGACATTATCATCAAGAGAGAGATGGTGTCCCAGTACTTACACACCTCCAAGGCTGTGAGTCCTGGGGCAGGTACCCATGACATGGGAGACTGTGCCCTTATCTTGGCCATGTTTGTTTTGTCACTTTCATAGAACATTTTATGTCCACGTCAGTTCTATTTCATTCTTTTATGTAAACTTACTCATTTTTTACCCTCACTTGAGTTACTTTTCTTACATACATTTGCCTAATTCAATCATCATAAAGTATGTATGAGTAATGGGAAGGAAATTCTGAATCTCATCGTTCTGTGGTATGTATGATGGGTGTCTGCCCTCATACTGTTTAAATGGTATTAACTAATACTAGTCCAATTTATGACTGAGTCCAGGGTTTACTGACCTCTATTTGCTTCTTTCCAGGGCATGAGCCAGAAGGAGAGCTCTAGGTCAGCCATGATGTACATTCAGGAGTTGAGGTCAGGCTTGCGGGATATGCCTCTGCTCAGCTGCCTGGAGTCCCTTCGTGTCTCCCTCAACAACAACCCTGTCAGGTGAGGATTCGAAGGTGGAAACAGGAGTAAGAGCCCGCTGTAGAATTCACTGGTGGGGATTAGAGATCAGAGGAGTCAGGGAAGTATGAGAATGTTCTGGATTGGGAGTAAGAAGTTGCCAGGATACATTTTATTTTTGTGGATAAGAGTATATTGATTTGATATTGCATTGTCTTTGTTCCTTACAGTTGGGTCCAAACATTTGGTGCTGAGGGCCTGGCCTCCTTATTGGACATCCTTAAACGACTTCATGATGAGAAGGAGGAGACTGCTGGGTGAGGACTTCCAAGTCTTGTCATCTTCTAGGTGGAGGGTAGTAGAGGACTTGGCTGTTTGCTGTAAAAGAGGAAATGGCATAAATGTAAAGTTAGGACTAGGACATTATATGTTGGCTGAGAATGGGGTTTATCGTGGGGGTGACTGGAGGATGAATAATTATTATAGATACAGGAAAAGGAAGAGGAACTTAAATTTCTCAGTATATACCACATATGATTGTGAGTCTCCCAATACAGGTTCTTATCCCATCTGGAAATGTGGTCTGATTAGTCCAAAGCTCTCCCATGATCTGGTCTGGGTCATATCTCATTTGGAAATAATGTGTGATCAGTTTGAGACTAACTTTATGATAGTCTTCAGGGTTGAAATAATTCTTGCACTGACTTAAGTTAGGCTTTCTTGAAGCCAACCTGACCCAGTATGGTTTCTCTACTTCCTGGGATCTTTCCAAAGCAAAACACAGGTCCTCTACCTCCTGAAAGTACAGACTTGAAACCTTTGGTGTAGATGAGGCAAGCAATAATAGATAGGATGCTATTGTGATAGAATTTAGCCCTTAGGAGCCTACTAGGAGTTAAAGGGGAGATTTTAATATAATACTAAATTCTTGGTTAATGAGAGGATTAGCCAGTGGTTCTTTCCTTCAGCTATCTCTTTTTGCCAGTGTTTCAGGACAAAGTGCTATGTGCTAGAGTTTACTCAGCTACTAGTTGGGAGTGTTCATAAGACCCTTGTTTATAATTGAAAAGTCAGTGGGAAACAGGTGTAGAATAAAGGGACTTCACTAATTATGTCTTATACACACAGAGGCTATGACAGCCGTAACAAGCATGAGATCATTCGCTGCTTGAAAGCTTTTATGAATAACAAGGTAAGATTGTTCCCATTCTCATTCTGACTCCCATCATGATCCCTGTTCTTGCTCTTCTGTTGGCAAACTCAAAAAAGAAGGACCTAGAAATACAAGGTTCAAGGCTTCTAGCTTTCCCTTTTAGTATTGTAACTTTTGATTACCACATACACATACTGTTACATATCTTTTTCCTCAGTTGTAATGTCTATTTCAGAGGAAAGGCTTAATTTTCTTCTTCTGTTTATACTTTTGTTAATTATTGGATTTCCTTTCCTGCAGTTATTAATTTTTGGAAGGTTTACTTTATTCTCTGCTTTATTATTTGTCCCCTGTATGTTCCTACTGTAGAATATTTCCTTTCTCTCTTTTTTTTTTCCTGTTTAGTATTTAAACCTAGGGAGCCTTCAATGATTTGTTCATGAGTGCAAATCTGTCTTTCTGACTGTTTAATTTTATTATAATTATTCTATTGGCTTGTGGGGGCATTGAAAAAGAAACATAAGAGTCAGTTTTTATTCTTGGAAGACAGAATTCTATTGTGTCTGCTCAGTTCAGTTCAGTTTCTCAGTCGTGTCCAACTCTTTGGACTGCAGCACTTCCTTGTCCATCACCAACTCCCAGAGTTTACTCAAACTCATGTCCATTGCATTGGTGATGCCATCCAACCATCTCATCCTCTGTCGCCCCATTCTCCTCCTGCCTTCAGTCTTTGCTAGCATCAGGGTCTTTTCCAATGAGTCAGCTCTTCACATCAGGTGGCCAAAGTGTTGGAGTTTCAGCTTCAGCATCAGTCCTTCCAATGAACACCCAGGACTGATCTCCTTCAGGATGGACTGGTTGGATCTCCTTGCAGTCCAAGGGACTCTCAAGAGTCTTCTCCAACACCACAGTTCAAAACCATCAATTCCTCGGCACTCAGCTTTCTTTATAGTCCCACTCTCACATCCATACATGACTACTGGAAAAACCATAGCCTTGACTAGACAGACCTTCGTTGGCAAAGTAATGTCTCTGCTTTTTAACATGCTGTCTAGGTTGGTCATAAGTTTTCTTCCAAGGAGTAAGCGTCTTTTAATTTCATGGCTGCAGTCACCATCCGCAGTGATTTTTGGAGCCCAAGAAAATAAAGTTTGTCACTGTTTCCACTGTTTCTCCATCTGTTTGCCATGAAGTGATGGGATTGGATGCCATGATCTTAGTTTTCTGAATGTTGAGCTTTAAGCCAACTTTTTCACTCTCCTCTTCCACTTTCATCAAGAGGCTCTTTAGTTCTTCTTCACTTTCTGCCATAAGGATGGTGTCATCTGCATATTTGAGGTTATTGATATTTCTCCCGGCAGTCTTGATTCCAACTTGTGCTTCATCCAGTCCAGCGTTTCTCATGATGTACTCTGCATATAAGTTAAATAAGCAGGGTGACAATATACAGCCTTGACGTACTCCTTTCCCAGTTTGGAACCAGTCTGTTCCATGTCCAGTTCTAACTGTTGCTTCCTGACCTGCATACAGATTTCTCAAGAGGCAGGTCAGGTGATCTGGTATTCCCATCTCTTTCAGAATTTTCCATAGTTATTGTGATCCACACAGCTAAAGGCTTTGGCATAGTCACTAAGGCAGAAATAGATGTTTTTCTGGAACTCTCTTGATTTTTCAGTGATCCAGTGGATGTTGGCAATTTGATCTCTGGTTCCTCTGCCTTTTCTAAAACCATTTTGAACATCTGGTAGTTCACAGTTCACGTATTGTTGAAGCCTGGCTTGGCGAATTTTGAGCATTACTTTTTGTGTCTGCTAGAAAATTATTTTTCCTATGCTCATTTTTGTTTAGCTATTTTGGGAAGCATGTTCTATCCTTTATTAGTTTGCTAGGGTTGCTAGAACACAGTACTACAAACTAGGTGTCTTAACAGAAGTTCATTTACCTCACAGCTCTAAAGGCTGTAAGTCCAAGATCAGGGTGTCAACAGGATTGGTTCCTTCTGAAGGCTGTGAGGGAGGGGGTGTCCCATGCTTCTCTCCTAGCTTCTGGTGTCTTGCTGGCAACCTTTGAGATTCCTTGACTTGTATATGCATCACCCAATCTCTGTCTTTGAGTTCATGTGGTGTTCTCCCTGTTTGCCTACATCTCCTCTTTTTATAAAGACAACAGTTATATTGGGTTAAGGACCCACCCTACTCTAGTCTGACCAAATGGTAATCTAACTGACTACATCTGCCTGTGACCCTGTTTCCAAATGAGGTTACAGTCTCAGGTACTAGGGGTTAGGGCTTCAACATACGGATTTTGGGAGGAATACCATTCAACCCATAACAACTCATAACTTGTCCCTGGTTAGGTGCTCTCATCTTTAAGCCTTCCTTTTCTGTTTTTGTTCTCCTAGTTTGGAATCAAGACCATGTTGGAGACAGAAGAAGGAATTCTGCTGCTGGTCAGAGCCATGGATCCTGCTGTTCCCAACATGATGATTGATGCTGCTAAGCTGCTGTCTGCTCTTTGTATCCTTCCGCAGCCAGAGGACATGTATGTGACTGGAATGATTTTTCTATTTTCTTTTTTATCATCTTCCTTAGTCTTGGGGAATATTGAGTTGCTTGGGTGTCCACTTACTCTTAAATACTAGGTAAGACTATATTTCTTAGGTGAACACTGTGAATCTTAATATTTAAGAATGTTTGTTAAGAGATGGAGGCTGTTCTGCATGTACTGCTGCTTATCAAAGGTACAGTAGAGTGCCTCCTAGATCTCCAGTAATGTCTGTATTGTCTAGGACAAGGGTTTCTTTTTACATTTTTTAAAATTCAGAAATAACACAAGGTTATTTTAAAACTCCAAACAACACAGAAATATATGAAGTACAATTAAACAATGTCATCCCTTTGGCAAACCCTGCTCTACAGAGGTGACCACTGTTAACGGTGTGGTGTAGTCTCATGGATCATTTTCTTTTTTTTTTTTTTCATGGATCATTTTCTAGCGTAGACAGATATACTAAGTTATAACATACCTGCCACTCCAAAAGATGGTATCTTAGAATTAAGGAAAGGTGGCGCTAGTGGTAAAGAATCCACCTGTCAATGAGGAGATGCTAGAGACACTTCCCCCTGGGTTGGGAAAATCCCCTGGAGTAGGAAATGGCAACCTGCTCCAGTATTCTTGCCTGGAAAATTCCATGGATGGAGGAGCCTGGTGGGCTACCGTCCATGGGACTGCAGAGTTGGACATGACTGAGCACACATACATGTATTCTTTGTACAATATATATATATTATTTCATATTTATGTACTTATGTTGGGTAGATTTTCTAGGAGTAGGCCAATGTCATCGGCATTAAAAATTGGTACTGTTAAATGCCTCTCCAAGAGTTGTCCAATTTATACGCCCTAGAACAGGGGTTTTAATTTGGTAAATATGGATAGAAGTCTAGGGCTGTGTTTTTAGGGAGTGCATTTTTCTGAAGAGATGGTCCTTAGTTTTTCCTGGTGATCTGGCCTCTGCTCTATATGATAAGAAGAAGAATATGAGAAATCTAGAATGTTGATATTGTCTGTTTCCTAACTGATCTGTGCCCCTGTGTAATCTACCTGACCAGAGCACCTGACCAATTCTCTCCCTTTCCTCACTCTTGGGCAGGAATGAAAGGGTTTTGGAGGCGATGACAGAAAGAGCTGAAATGGATGAGGTGGAACGTTTTCAGCCACTGCTGGATGGATTAAAAAGTGGGACCTCCATTGCTCTCAAGGCATGTGTACCTGTGAAATGGCCTACAAGTGGAATTCAAGATAGAAAGACTGAAGTTCATTTGACCTTTTTTTTTTTCATTTGGCCTTTTAAAAGAACACATAGAGTGGTTACCAACAATGTATTTTATATTTCAGAGTTCTTTCTGAAGGGAAAATGGTTACTCTTCTCTCTAAAAAGCAGAGAAAGAACTGTTTTCCTCATTACGAGGTGGAAAAAAGGCATGGTATTTATTTACAAGCTAGGAAAACCAAGGCCCAGAACAAATTACACTTTCAAATCCCCAGAATTCTTTAGACCTCTGAGCTCTCTGGACCTGTGTTTAAACCAGGTTAATTTGCTGTAACAGAAAATCATTCTTGTCGTTTTTGTACTGCATCTTCTAGGTAATATTTGGGGGCCTCAGAATGCATGTAAAGAGAGTGGGTTCTTGATCTCTAGGAGTTAACATTGACACAGCTGCTGAATTTTCTTATCTTAGGTGGGATGCCTACAGCTCATCAATGCTCTCATAACACCAGCTGAAGAACTTGACTTCCGAGTTCACATCCGAAGTGAACTGATGCGCTTGGGGCTGCACCAAGTGTTGCAGGTGAGAGGCAGCTCTTCATTAGAAAGGCTGGGCTGGTTCCTCCTGTTCCTATAGCCCCACCATCCCTGGGATAACTTCCATTTTCAGTTTAAAAACCAGGTTGAGGGAGTTTCCTGGTGGTCTACTGGTTAGGATTCAGCACTTTCACTGTTGTGGCCTGGGTTCAGTTCTCGGTTGGGCAACCATGGCAGGTCATGCAGCGTGGCCAAACAAACCAAAAAAACAGGGTAAAATATTTGGGTTTCTAGCCAGCATCAGGCACTTCTGGGTTCCCTGACTTATTCTTCTGACATTGACAGGACCTTAGAGAGATTGAAAATGATGATATGAGAGTGCAGCTTACTGTATTTGATGAACAAGGAGAAGAAGATTCCTATGACCTGAAGGGACGGCTGGATGACATTCGAATGGAGATGGAATATCCTTTTACTGACTGGGTTGAAGATAGATAAGACATTCGGTTGTTTTCAGTTATAGATCCCTGTATGGAATGGTGTGGAATTGATGATCAGAAGAGGGCATTAGTCTGTCTTCTTAGTAGGTAAGGCAGCTGTCTTTTGATGGCTGTGGATTTATTTACCTCAGCATGGACTAGAGAAGTTGGAAAAGCTCACCTGAGGGTTGCTCAGCATGGAAGCAGCCATCATAGTTAGTATAGATCTCCTAGAACACAATAGCTTAGCTTATTAAGATGTGGAACTGGTTTTTGAAGGACATAGGTAAGTCAGGGAATAGGGCTGTAACTTGTATGTGCCCCTGCGACTGACATGGGGAATAATTTGGTTACCTATCGGTATTTTCCACAAGTGACTTTGAGGCACTTACCTTTTTCTTTTTGTCTATTGCTCGATTTTCAAGCCAAGTACTAGGCATTTTGTCTCTGTGTGTAGTACCACTGACTCACTGGTCCTCTGGCCAAAGGAAGTTTACATAGCTTAAAGTTTAGGCCAGGGTGTACAGAGGGAACAGCTGTTAGAATAGAAGTGGCATCTTGTTCCTTTTCATGAGAGTTGTCAAGCTACCTGTCAGACATATTTTCTAAGTATATGCTTTCCTTAGCCTCTTCTCCTTTTCCACTGACTTCAGTGAAGTCTTCCAGATTCTGTTAAACACAGTGAAGGATTCAAAGGCAGAGCAGCACTTCCTGTCTATCCTGCAGCACTTACTCTTAGTCCGAAATGACTATGAGGCCAGGTGAGATGGTATACCTTTGGGAAGATTAATCTGAACCTAAATGGAGAGAGCAAAATTCAAGTGAACTGCCCTCTTTCATGGTGGGGTGAAGGTGATAGCCAAGGAAGGCAGCAGTATAAAGTTCTTTCATGTTGGAACATGAGATTCAAGCCATAGACTAGAGATTTAGCAATAGTACTGTCTGTCACAGGTAGGGTCTAGCTTGAATTTTAGATGGAAGATGACTTGCACTGGGAGACAGATGGCAAGAAGTTTTGACTCTCTGAAGTAGATGTGCATAGCTGATGCGGAAGAGGGGGATTTCTTAGAATGGCAGCAGTACTCTGTTAATACTATGAAAAAGTCTTTTCCAGGACATTTATCCTCAGGTCCTTCTATTGTCAAAGCAATTTACCTTTCTTGATTCTGAATACCAAAATTATATTTTGGTTTACCATTAATAACCTTGTTTTGTTCTTCTGTAGACCGCAGTACTATAAGTTGATTGAAGAATGTATTTCTCAGATAGTTCTACATAAGAACGGGGCTGATCCTGACTTCAAGTGTCGGCACCTCCAGATTGATATTGAGGGACTGATTGGTAAGTGTATTCATCTATTTGGTTCTGTGAGACATTGCTTCCACCTTTCATTTTCCATTTTTCTTTCAGTGAAGATTTCAGAGAAGGTAGTTTTTTAGCCCATGGGTATTTCCATTTTCACTCTTTCTTAGGTGATATAACAATATCTATGCTAGGAATATACAGGCCTTTAGTTTATTTCCAAAAAATTCTAAAAGTTTATCCCTTCTCATACGCCTCCCCACCTTTTGAAGGGACTTCAGGTATTGTCTCTAACTCCTGCTGGTCCCAGAGATTCATAAGTACTACTTGTAGGCATTTTCTGTGCCATCCAGCATGGTGGCCATACTGTGTAACAGGCACTCAGAAATTATATGTTGAACTTAGCTGAAAGTTCCATTTCTTTGTCCCATACAGAACATTAAGAAGGATAAGAAAAATAACCAAAGGGCAATCTTTGCTCCTTTTGTTCATATGGAAGGGCTTAGTGAGAGGGGCAGGGGAGAATTGGGAACTTGACTTCCTGACTCTTTGCCTTCTTTTTAGATCAAATGATTGATAAAACAAAGGTGGAGAAATCAGAAGCCAAAGCTACAGAGCTGGAAAAAAAGGTATGTATGAGAGATCAAAAATAATTGAGCTATATCTTTCTTTCTTTGTTTAAGGGTTTTGATTTTTCTGACATGTGACACAGTTACTCATGATATTTTGAAAGCGTTCAGCACACAATAGCAGTTCCTTGGGGAAACCTTTCTGGTGTAGGTTATTCAGTGGAGAAAGTGTGATCACGGTATAGATGTGATCATGAGGAGCTGGTCCATTGTGAGTTTGCACAGTTCATGGGCCCCCGAGCAGGAGGAAGACAGGTGGAACTCTCATATAACGTTGTCAGCACTTGGGTTTACTTGATGTCTCAGGCCTCTTAGCCATAGAATAATCGGAACTGGAATATGTCTGAATTCTTTTTCTCTTTGATTAAGGACTCCTATTGTTGATAACTTTTTGATCCTTGAGACTGTTGGGACTGTGCACCTTAGCTGTCCTGGTTAAATGTGCTTAAAATCTTGGTGGTGGTGGCTTTTTTAAAAAATCACTCCCAAGTATTGATAGTCTATGGAAATAATCCCTGGCTTCCCCCTCCTTTAAGCTTGATTTTAAGGTCAAAATCATAGTGGCCTGTTTTCCCAGGCATTCCTTGGGTCAGTGAGCTCAACAGATCAAGGATTAACACAAAACAGTAAATTATGGGGAATAATACTGGACTTTTGTTGAGATGGAGAACCTGATTTCTTTCTCTTCTAGCTGGACTCCGAGTTAACAGCTCGACATGAGCTGCAGGTGGAAATGAAAAAGATGGAAAGTGACTTTGAGCAGAAGCTCCAGGATATTCAGGGAGAAAAGGATGCATTGGATTCTGAAAAGCAGAAAATTGCCACGGAGAAACAGGACCTGGAAGCAGAAGTGTCTCAGCTCACAGGAGAGGTAATGTCCAAATAGGGAAGGCAGAGTAACCTGGGACTGCCATCAGCAGCTTCAGGGTGAGCCTGTGTTGGAGCAGGACTCTCTCATCTTACAACTAGGAAGAGTTCAGATACTAATAGGTAATCTAGTTAGGTGGTGCATATTCTTTAAATCATGAACTGTTTTGGGGATAAGTAATACGTAAGAAAGACAATTTGGAGAATACAGAACAACACAAAGAATAAAATGAGTCACCGAACTACCCAGAGATAAAGATAATATTTCTAGTAATTTAGGAATATTCTAGTAAATTTAGGAGTAAATACTAAATAAACTGTTCTATTTACTAATTTTTCTTACGTTAGTCATCTCTGGACAGATCTATGCCTGCATACTCTGCCTGCAGTTATAAATATTTATATGATCTGTTATACCTGATAACTTGATCACTTTATGTGTTTATATTACTACATTTATAGCACATATGTTAATTATATAACTAGAATATTTGGTTTACTTGATCTTTGCAATTTCTAATCAAAGGGAGAGTTTAACATAAACTTTGAAGTTGCCTTCTTAATGCAAAGCATACTGAACTAAGAACATGAAAACCTGAATTCTAGTTTTGTCTCTGTTGCTAAGTAGCTCTGTGACTTTAGGTGGAGCCTGTCAACTAACTGTTTTTATTCCCTTCATGTGTAAAATGAGAAGTTTGGATCAAATAATTTCCTAGGTTCTTTCCAGTGGTCCCTGAAGTGGAGTGAGACATATTCCTCTTGGTGGTGTTTTTGTAGGTCGCCAAGCTGTCCAAGGAACTGGAAGATGCCAAGAAAGAAGTGGCTTCTCTCTCTGCTGCAGTTACTGCTGTAGGCCCTCCTAGCAGTGCTGCTGTTCCCCCTGCTCCTCCTTTACCTGGTGACTCTGGGCCTGTTGCACCCCCTGTGTCAGTGCCCACACCCCCCCTTCCTGAGGCCAGGGCCAGTCCTCCTCCACCACCTCCTGCTCCTCCTCTACCTGAGTGTGCTTTCCTCTCCCCACCTGGGGGTCCTATCATCCCCCCTCCTCCCCCTTTGCCTGGAGGTGTTGGCATCCCCCCACTGCCTGGGGGCCCTGGCATCCCTCCACCCCCTCCTCCCTTGCCTGGAGGACCAGGAGTGCCGCCTCCCCCTCCCCCTTTTCCTGGTGGAATCCCCCCACCCCCTCCATTTCCTGGAGGCCCTGGGGTTCCTCCACCTCTCCCTTTTGGAGTTCCTGCAGCCCCAGTTCTGCCGTTTGGATTAACCCCAAAGAAACTTTACAAGCCAGAGGTGCAGCTCCGGAGGCCAAACTGGTCCAAGGTGAGAATTTCTGTCCATCTCTTCATTAGTAGGTTAAGAAAAAAACCCTTCAGCTTCCTACTTTGTGTTTTGTGCATGGTTGGACTCCCCTTTCTTATGGTTCACATCTGTATATCTTCAAGTTCCACTCATGCATATGTTTATTCAGCAGATAATAGACATGTCCTGCATGCGAGATATCACTTGGGAGAGTTCTTGGAGCCTGTACTCTGCTAGAAAACCTAAACTTATCCTACAGTTAATGTTTTTTGCCCTTTTCACTGAGAATATGAGTGCAATGATACCGCACAGTTTGATAATAGTCATTTCACTGATCTGCAAGGTACTGATAATTTTACTGATCCAAAAGTCATAGATTTATGGATACAGCCCCCTACCACCTCTGCCCACCAGTAAATGAGTTACACAGGATATGATTGCACAGGTATGGTATGTGTTTGAGACCCTTATGATTCTACATCAGTCCTTTGCTTTTGGAAACCAAGTGAAAATAAAGGAACTTAGGGATTTGTTCATAAAATGAACGAATTTGGTACATTTAGCCACATTGATGGGGCAAGTGTAATGTAAAGCAAGGGAAGATGTAAAATAAAGCCTTATTGCTTCTAAAAGTAGAGCATTTGGGATTAGAAGGAGGATAAGCAGCATATCTGAGTCTAGTTTCTGAATAAATACCAATAAACACACAAGCTGGAATCATCATCTGGTCCACCACAAAGAGCATAGCTATTCTGTGTCTCAGGTTAGTCTTGCTCTAGTAAGATGTTGACAGTGACCAGCCAGCTGCTGCTTTTGCATCTCAATCAGTTTTCTAGGATGGGAAGTACAGAGCTCAGCTTAGTAACTCTTAATACCTACATGTATCTACAGTTTGTTGCTGAGGACCTTTCCCAAGACTGCTTCTGGACAAAGGTGAAGGAGGACCGATTTGAGAACAGTGAACTTTTCGCCAAACTTACCAGTACCTTTTCTGCCCAGACCAAGAGTGAGTCCTTTCCTCTTTCTGGCAAAGGGTCAGATTTAGGACTGGGGGCCAGACTAGGACTTAGAAGGTTCATTAAGGTGGTCTTCCATTTCTTTCCCTTCCCTGGTTGAGGACTGAAGAGAGCTGGGGGTTCCTATTCAGAAGAAAGTAAGTTTGGTCTTGTGTTCTGGGGATGCTGGAATTGACAAAGAGAACTGTTGCATGTAGGTGTTTTGTCCCCCCAGTTTTTGTGCACGTAGGTATTTTATGTCAGTGGAGCATGTAGGGATGTGAGATTAACATCACAGAGCTCAGGCTGGGCCCATCTTGAAAGGTTTCTGGCACTGCCTTTAAGGCGCCATCCTCAAACCTATATACGTAGTTGATCAGAGTTGGGCAGAGTCCTTAGTATTAGTAGGTCAGGTGGCTGAGCAACTGTCTTTGTACAATAACAGAGAACCATATGTGATCCCCCTTTTTTTTTCCATTTCTTTCCAATATCTGATGCTTTCTCCTTCCTGGCCATTTGCTCCTGCAGCTTCAAAAGGTAAGAGTACCGAAGAGCCATGTAGTTGGGTCTCTTGAATATTAGAGAAAACAGTGAAACAGATGTAAAGGAATTTCTCTTTGAAAACTAAGACTAGAAACTGGGGACTGATTTCTCTTTTGCTAGTTTTTTTTAAGAGTCCAGAGGGACCAGTAACTGATGTTAACTGACAGGGACGAAAATTATTTTAAGTCAAAGCTACCATATACTTGTTCTTTCTTTGGAAGGTGAGGGACAGCTCATAATGCTATTACTTTACATTTGTGTTGTGTTTTACAAATTTGAAAGTTCTTGAACATATTTTACCCTGTTAAGCCTGCAAAGAAACCTTATGAGATAGGCAAGGTGTATGTTATCTCCATTCCATAGTGTTCATAGACTGATTAGTTAAGTAGCTTGCCAAAGTTTGTATGACCAGATCCAGGGATCCTGACTTCTAGTCTGTCTTTTCATATAAATTTTTGCTTTTCATCTTCACTTTTGTATCTTCCCTTTTATTTTAGAAGAGCTGATCTCTTTTGGCCTTTTCTTTCTTCACTTCCTAATTCTTGTGGTTTCACGCTCTTTTGTGATGGGGCATTGTAGTTATTTCCCCAGAGGGATGCAGTATTTGAAAAATATTGTCATTACCTAATGACAGTTAGAACCTAATAATTTTGTATTTCCAACGTCTACCAGCTTTTTTGTTTATTTAGAGGTTTATTTTGATCCTAGGGATAACAACTGAGTGCAGCTGAGAGCATTCCCCTTCATCAGTAAATAAGCATTTTTAAAGACAATTACTACCTTTTTCCTTAAGTGATCTGATGAGACTAGACTGCACTTTGTTCTAATAAGAAATCTATTGGAGAGAGTACCCTGGTGCCTAGTGATTAGGATTCGGTGCTTTCACTGCAGAGGCCCAGGTTTGGTCCCTGGTTGGGGCATCATCCCACATGCTACATGGCATACCTCTGTTAATTGTTCACTCATGTCCAACTCTTTGCTACCCCATGGATTGTAGCCTCTGTCCATGGGATTCTCCAGGCAAGAATACTAGAGTGGGTAACCGTTCACTTCTCTGGAGGAAATTTCTGACCCAGAGATTGAACCCAGGTCTCCTTCCTTGCAGGCAGATTCTTTACCGTCTGAGCCACCAGGGAAGCATGGCAGGGCCAAAATAAAAACAAAAACCCAAAACAGCCCATGCTGCTGGCAGCCCTTAGGTGTGTGTGTATCTGGGAGTCAGAGATCACAGTGCTGTCCTGCTGCCCTAGCATTCAGGGCAAAGTTGCCTTTTCCTCTAAGAGATTTATCACCTTCTGAACTAAAGTTCAGCCCAGAAAACTACTTCCACCCTCTTAGTTAAAAACGCTGTGATAAGGACCACTTATACTACTCTAGAATATCAGCAACTGGTTAACAATGAAGATCAACATCAAATCTGCTAATTTGTAAGCTCACAGAATCTGTCCCTGTATTGGCTTCTGGTATCACTTTCTTTCTGGTGGCTGCCATGAGTGCCGCTGCAAATGACGGGGTCCCTTTTCCTCCCTGCTCTGTCACCATCCTTCTTTTATTCTGTACATTTGTACTGCTGTTGATTGCAGCAGAGTTTTTTTCAGCTTAGTGGTTTTCCTTGGCATTACATTCCCACTTTAAATTGGTATATAATGTTTTTTAAATACTAAGCAAGACCTTATCTCATTTTTTATTATTTTTCAACAGTGTAACCAAACTTTTCAATGTTCTTTAGTCTCAGTTTCTGCCCTGGAAACTACTTTCTAGTCACTGATGATTCTAACTTCCTGGCAGCTTTGGCTTCCCCACCCCCTTAAATTATTCTTAGAAATAGTTGTATCTTAATCTGAAAAGAGTAAGTGTCAATTAGTCAATTTAGTGTCAGTTTTTATTTTCATGCAGTAATAATCATCATTAATAGTTTGTTGCTACTTTGATGAAGGACAGTTCTAGCTAGCCTTTAAATATCTGTATAGTTAGGACTTTCAGGTGTTAAATTGTCACCCTGTCTTAATTTCCCAGTATTTTTTATTAAGAAGCACTAGAGAGGGTAGTCTTGAAAATTATTAAAAACATGAGCAATTTTCTAAACAGCCTAAATTTTAATCACTTTAAGAAATTCCTGGGGGAGATTTTTTTCCCTGCCAATAAGTACTTATAGTTTACCCAACTCTTAACAGTTATCTGCAACACTCCCATACAATGAAACTTTCCTACTTGTCATCAACCAACACTAGACCTCTATGTTTCCAATTATCTTCCCACCCAAAACAAACACTTCTTCCTTTAAAAATTATTTCTTCTTTTGATTTTCAGTGTTTTACTGACTTTGACTTTTTTTTTTCTTCTATATTTTATTGCTTTCCTTCCCTTTGACTTATTCTGCAAATCTGTGGTGATTTAAGAGTATTTGAATGTCAGGGCTGGTTCTAATGTGTGTTTCTCGGGGACAGGATAGTTGCTTTGACATCCAAGTAGCAGGTGGAGGTGCTGTGTGTGGACCCAGTGCCTCAGCTGCACTGTGATCCAGGGAGCTCACCTGCTCTGCCTTTCCTGAGCAGTTTTGAGCCTCCCCTTCTTGGTGCTCTGGTTGGTAAACTTAATACAGACTCTTCCCAGGTAGCCCCTTTCTTTCAACCTGGCCCCCCAAAAACATTTTAGTAAAAAAGACTAGGATTCTTAGAGTTTAGGTTTTCATCAGGTAAAGAATTTCAAGCTATAGAAACTTCAGAGGTGAGGACTCAGAGGATTGAGTCCTCAGTGTGAAGGCAAGGTTTCTGGTTCTTTGAACATCTCTAGCATGATATTGCAGAATACCTTCATTCTTAATCCTTTTTTCAAGTAGGTAACCAGTTTCAGTAACCAAGTCTCTCATTCACAGTCTTAATATTGATGCTATAATTAAATGATAAGTAAATACTCAGTAGTAGTAGTAGTAGTAGTGTTAGTCACTCAGTTGTGGCTGATTCTTTGTGACCCCATGGACTATAGCCTGCCAGGTTCCTCTCTGTCCAAGGCATTCTCCTGGCAAGAATACTGGAGTGGGTAGCCATTCCCTGCTTCAGGGGATCTTTCTGACTCAAGGATCAAATCCAAGTCTCCTGCATTGCAGGCAGATTCTTTGTCGTTTGAGTCACCATTACCACTCTAACTATTTCATCTTCCAGGTGAAGACGTAGAGATATTGGTTAAATAATTTTTTCAAGGCTCTATGGTAAGTGCCAGAGGCAGGATTCAGACTCCAGACTGTGACTCCAAAGTCCTGCTTTAGCTCTCTCCTTTCCAGATGTGTATGTTCCTGCTCTTAAGAGCTTCTGAAGGCTGAGATCCAGATGAAAGCTTGAAGAGGTGGGGATATGCTGGCTTCTGCTACCACCTCATTCATCATGGCACCAGTATTCTTGAATTGAAAGTGACTCATGAGTACAAAAAAGGAGCAACATTCGATTAGGGAAAGTAAGATATCAGATATTTAGGGTTGAAGAAGAGAAGCCATTTTCTGATTACAGTATATTGAACTCTAGTCAAACTAATCCAGCTGGAGAAGTATAGAATGCGTGTCTAGTACAGTAGACATCTTGCTTAGTTGATTTCATCCCAGCAGTTGCCAGTCTTGATGAGGAAGTCATCAAGGTTTTCATAATATTACATTGTTTCCTCTCTCACTTGCTAAACACAACTCTGCTGTTTGTTAAGTGTGGCAGTATTCCTCTTACATTTTAGTGATACCTGAAACCTCCCATGTAGTGACTGGCTCCTCCAGAAATGACCATTAAAGACAACATCCACCTTATTCTTGACATCTGCCTCTTGTAGTCAGAGGTCTCCAGCCATTGCTTCATTAAGGTTCAGGAAGATGTGTGCTGTTTACTAAGAGAAGAGCTAAGAGAGAGGAAAGTGAAAGTGAAGTCGCTTAGTCGTGTCTGACTCTTTCGGCCAGGCTTCTCCATCCACGGGATTCTCCAGGCAAGAATACTGGAGTGGGTTGCCATTTCCTTCTCCAGGGGATCTTCCCCACCTAGGATCGTACCCAGGTGTCCCGCATTGCAGGCAGCGCTTTAACCTCTGAGCCACCGGGAAAGCCCCGAAGAGAGAGGAAGTGGTCCCCAAATTGATACTACAGAATCCTTTATGCATTTTTCTCTTTAGGATTATTCTTTTGTTTCTGATCTCCTGACTTTCTGTAAATCAAGGATTTACTTTTTTGATTTATTCCTTGACAGAGAATATTTTGAATTTTGATTTGATAGGCAGTGCTGTAAAACATCTAGTCCTTTTTCACTCTCACTTTCCTTATGGTGATCAGCAAGGAATCTTTTATCATAGTTTCTGTATTGAATCTGCTTCTTGAATTCCTGAGAACATGTTCAGTAGTTAAATTTTATTCTTGTTCATCTTCTCTTTGGGAGCATTTTCATCACCATGGTAGCCTCAGGTCATTATTTGTTATACAAATAACTAGTTTTAGTTTTTCATTGTGCTTTTTCTTCTAACTCTTACTCTTTCTTGTAGATAATCATGTTTCCATTAAAAAAGTATAGCTTCTTAAAACGTAGGCTGGTAAGTGAAAACTGATGTTCTGAGTACAGTGATGTTTTTCTTTTTAGGTTTATTTCTTCCTTCCAAAAAAACTTCTGGACTTACAAGATCCACAGGCTAATAATCATCCTTAGTAGGTGTGTGGTGGACAGTATGTGGCATCAGCCCTTGCCCTGTTAAAGTGTGAGGTGCATTTCCAGAATAGTGAGCATCAGAGCAGTTCTACAAGTTAGTGGTTAGTGTCAGTAATTTTGAAAAAGCTCTTAATTTTGAAATTAAGATCCTGACAAAAAGCTGAGGATTTCATAAATAACAGTATTCTAATTAGGATTTGACTACGTGAGTCCGGATTCCAAGGTTTGTGCTGTAGTCCAAGTCAGAACTATTGATAACAAGTGGTAGGTTTATCTGTCTCCTGCTGGCCCAGAACCTGCTTGCTTAAGGCTTCAGGCAGCATTAGG